AATACATTTAACTCCTTCATCGGTACATTTAACTTCGTGGAGCCGTCGAAAGGGGGTTGCAATCGACGAACGGGCTGCAGAAACTGATAGAACTTGCTGTCAACACCAGAAGAGATCGCGTCCGATTACAAGCTGCTGTATACAATTCAGTGAAAAGCGGGAAGCGGAGGAGAGCCCCGGTGACCGCTATCGAACTTCGGCGATGCTTTCTACGGCAAAATGTGGCCTCGTTGAAACGTGGCCGTGCTAATCACCCAATCTTTGACGCGCTGACACGTACGCACGCATGCACGCGAGTCCCGGGAGACGCGTGCACGTGTGCCACGATCGTCTGCAGGAATCGAGCGCGGCTTCGACGCGGAACATCGACAATGCATTTCAATCCAGCTGTTACCCACCCGGCAAACCCGGCGCGCGAATCGTAAGGTTATCCCCCGTGTGTTTATCTCTCTCGACGAGATTAACGCGCGGCGGTAACGCTAACGAGCGCAGCGTGACGTCTCGATAAACAAGTTTTTGCGATCCGCATCTCGCTGACCATGTACGTAATATGTTAATAATGCCGTCAGAGTGGGAATGCGCGGAATATAACGAAGGCGCTATCGACGACGGTAACGGTCCTCGTGGAAGTTCAGGTGTGCGAGCTCGCTCGCTCGCTCGCCGCTGAAACTTGCGTCAGCGCGCAACGCGGGCCGCCTTCTCTCGTGATCGACGATCCGTCGATCGGTAACGATATATATTAAAAGAAACGAACGATATATGTTTACCGATGAGCACAGTGGAGCCGCGCCGTACACGTGATGCAATTGCCTAAGTCAGGAACGACAGACTTGCCGCTTCAATTATTCAATAACTCCAAGGATATTATGCTTAAGCCGTGCCGCTCCACTCGCGAGAAAGTGGCGATAGATCCGCAACGGAATTGGACGAGACGGCTTCGTCAAATCATTCTCGTCGACGCGCTGTCTTCCTTGGCAGCGTGACCTTACGCGACAACCAGATCGAGGATCTCTCGCCGCGTACGTTTTATCGCCGCTAAAGATAAAACAGTGATGAGTCAAGACGCCAAATAAATAAAGCCGACATACTGACATTAAAGTAAAGACACCAAAACGGATGAGTTTGCAAAAATCTTGGCATAATTCCCTACGAGATCCTGGCGGCTTTTGCCTTCGACGTCTCTCCGCTCGAGGTCTTTCGGAGCCTCTCCTATCTCGCTTCGCGTTGAAATCACGCCGGTCTCTTACCTAGCTTAGAACGACCAACAGTAATTATACATGTGCAATTTAACTTATCTGGGTAATCGACAGGCGACTAATTCGACTTATCTAGGTGATCGAGCTTCTTCCTGTCGTTAGACAGACTCCGCCGGGACACTAGAGACAAGTGGGAAAAGTCTCTCATCTACTTCTCAGAAGACGGAAGACGGAAACTAACCTTTGAGCAGCGGCAACTGCTGGAGCTCGACATCCTGCGAGTTGCGGTAGCGGGACGAGCCCTGCGACTTCTTGGACTTCTTCTTGAGGGATCGCTTGGCGAAGGGGTCTATCCTGTCCACGAAGGCCCCTGACGACATTTTGGCATTTAACGGAGGCACTGTGGGGAACTGTCCTGATGCTCGAGAAAAAATAAAACGGCGAGCGCTCGCGCGGCCTGGTTTTTTATTTTTCGTTTTTTCCTCTCCTCCCTCGTCGGTGCGCGTCCCTTTCCGCACGCGGACAGCAGAGCGAGAGGGCGGGCGGGGGGGTTGTCTCTCGCGCGACTAGAGACCGAGATCACCACCGCCCCGAGGAGGCCGCATTCCGTGGCCGCCGAACGCGCGACGTATACGAGAGACCGTACGACACCAAACTCCGCGAGAAAACTCACCGAGGAAACGAAAGAAAGGCACACACTGTTACGCTGCGGGATGATGCACGTGACGCGGCCTTACCCCCGATCGCATCAATTCCTCTTTCTCCCCTGGCCCCCCGTGCGCTATACTCTCCCCCCGCGCGAGCCCACGCCACGGACGCACGCTGCTTCAAAACCGTTCACGCTGCGCGCCGCCGAGCGGCGCGAGGAGGTGCGGGCGGCGATGGAAGACGACGACGACGACGACGGCGACGTTCGTCGCGCATAGCAAGCACACACGCGGGACAACCTTCCCGGTAAACGCAGATCCGTTGGCGAGATCCTCTCTGTCAGGCCGGCCCGTCGGCCCGTCGGCCGATCACCGCCGTCACCGGCCACCGAGGAGGTAGGGGCGCGATGATCTCTCCCGCGGACGGCTAGGCGTTGTCACATGCGGACGCACGCCCGTGTGCCGTCTCCGTCCGTCCGTCCGTTTCTTCCTTCTTCCTTCCGCGAACGTAGGTGCTCCCACCTACAACCCACGACCGTGCGACGGGGGCACGGTGTACAAGCGCCGACGGTACGTCGCGGAACGTCCGACCGGCGACTCTCTTCCGGCAGCTGCCCTCTTCCCGATTCGGTCCCACCTCGCCTCACACTCGCGACGCAGGGTGGATTCGATCGACCACGACGGCGACGACGACGACGACGACGACGACGGCGCTGATCTCGTTGGTTCCGCGGCTGATCGCTCGGCCGAGGGCTCCTCTCGGTCGCGCGGATTGCGTGTCGTTCCACTCACTCGCTCACTCGCTCGCTCGTATCGCTCGCACGCGCGCGCACGCACGCACGCAGGCAGGCAGGCACAGGCAAGGCAGGCGGATAGGCACCGTGCTGCCGCGCGCGCCGAGTCGAGCCGCGGCTGAGATCCGCCGCCGGTGCTCGGCCGAAGAGGGAAAAGAGAGACGAGGGCACCGTTGCGAAATAGAACGACTTGCGCGTATAGTTGACGATCCAGCGCGGCGCGCACGTTCGTTGCGGGAAGTAATGGCCGCGGGTAACGTTGGCCCCTCGCGCCGCGCACACGCACCACGGGTAACACACACACGGACACGGACGCGGACACACGCGCACACAGACACGATTAAAACCGAACCGAAGAGGCCGAGACGGCGAGCGCTGGTCGCCGTCGACGCTGCTGCCCGCTGGCTTCGCCCTCTTTCACGCGCGCCGACCGCCGACCGCGTCTCGAGGGGGGAAAAACGCCGCACAAACTGCCACCACGCACAACTGCCGACCGCCGCCGACTCCGCTTTACGCTCTACTCCGTTCTTCTTCCTCCACCTCCTCTTCTTCTTCTCCACCTCCGCCTCCGCCACCGCCTCGCGCTCGCACCGCCCGTACACGCCGATGTGCGGGGAACAACGACGTTCTCGGGGTAGGACGTGTATGTTAGGAGCAGCAGCTCTCGGTAGCGCTGGCTAGCACGGCCGCCATCAGCTGCTCGCTGCGACGTGGAGGTCTATCTCTCATTTTCCGGCGGAGCGTACGAGAGCGAATCCGTATAACGTCAGGCGTCGAGCGAGTTCGCCGGAACGTGACCCGACATCGCCCCCCTCACGCGCCCCGATCGCTTTTGGCGCTCGGCGCCAGAGCTTGATCCTCTCTTTCAGGACCCCGCGGTATACACTTTCGGCTTCTCGCCTTCTCGCTTCTCTCCTCGGCCCGTTGTCCGTTCTTCGCGCGCGCGTACACACCACTTCGCCCTCTCGTCGGCTCGTCACTTCTCTTCCGCCGCCACCACCCGCGAATGAATCGCCCGTGTGTGCTGCCGCTCCTCTGTGCGCCCAGGGGGAGGGGGGGAAGCCCCTCGCACGTCTTCGTTCGCGCGACGATATTCGCGAGGCGAAGTACACACGCACGCGGTGAGAGAGGGAAAAAAAAGGGGAGCGTAGATCTCGAGGTATATCGCGCCGCGCACCGCCGCCCTCGTCACTTATTGAAAATCCGTCAAGAGAGGTGCCCCTGCGTGCCTGAAAATAGTAATATGCGCTCGGCAATCGTCGGCCGAAGACGGCCGAGCGTCGACGGAGACGCACGAGCGCGGCAGGTGGCGGCGGCGTCGCCGGCGATCAACTTTTTCACGGCGCGCCCGCCGCCGGTGGCGGCGCGCTCGGCCAATCGCGGGCCGCCGTCGCGCGGACGCCGCGCCGCCGCCAATGGCGCGCTCGCGCTCGCGATCGATGCGCGCGCGCGCGCGGCGCGCACGGAAGGTGGCGCGACGTGCGAGGACTCGATCGTTAATGACGAATCACGTCGTCGCTTCACGGATGCGCGTACTGACGTATACTGACGGCTTCGATCTCTCTCTCTTCCTTTCTTTCTGTTTCTCTCTGCGAATTTTCGATCCGTTCAATCTCGACGAATTTGCGAATCACTTATTGAAATCACGACGACGAACTTGAAAGATATAAACGAGATTCTCATTCCTATATAAATAAGATTCTCCAATTTTCTCTTGAAAAATTAAACGTTAGCAGAAATTTTTTTGTTAAAATATCGTAGAAATTTGTTATTTGTTGAATTATAA